CACCGTCATCATCGCCAGCAGCAGCATCGTCGTCATCAGCATTGCCATCATCATTCTCAACAACAACAACAAAAACAACAACAGCATCTGCATCATCATCGTCGGCAGTACCGTCATCATCAGCATCAGAATCAGCATCCGCATCCGCACCCTCACCACCACCGGCATCCTCATCATCATCGCCAGTACCACCATCACCAGCAGCAGCTGCATCAACATCCTCATCAGCAGCATCAGCATCATCACCATCATGACCACCGTCATCACCGCCGGCATCAGCGTCATCAGCGTCATCAGCCTCACCATCACCATCACCATCACCATCACCATCACCCCGCGCGCTCCCGCGCCCATGGGAGCTCCTTCGTGGAAGGAGGAGGAGGAGGTCGAGGAAGGATGACGGGAATAGAGGAAAGGAGGAAGGACCGGAGGAGGAAGAGGAGGATGGGGGAGGAGGAAGAAAGGAAGGAAAGAAGGCGAAAAGGATGGAAACCAGAGGAGGAGGGAAGGAGGGGAGGAGGGAACGAAGGAAGGAAAGCAAGAAGGAAGGAAGGAAGGATTGAAGGAAAGAGGGAAGGATGGAAGGACAAGGAGGATGGACGAGGAGGAGGAGTAGGAGGATGAGGAGGAGGAGGAGGAGGAGGAGGGAGGAGGAGGAGGAGGAGGAGGGAGTAGGAGCACGAGGCCGAGCCGGAGGAGGAGACGAGAGAGGGGGACAGAGAAGGAGAGACGCAGCGCAAGGAGGGCGAACGCCAGCCGCCGCTGCAGACACCGCAGCCGCCGCAACCGACCTCCTCCTCCTCCTCCTCTCCTCCTCCTCCTCCTCCTCCTCCTCCTCCCTCCTCCTCCTCCTCCTCCTCCTCCTCCTCCTCCTCCTCCTCCTCCTCCCCTCTCCCCATCCTCAACCTCATCCTCTTCCTCCTCTTCCTCCTCCTCCTCCTCCTCCGCCTCCTCCTCCTGCTCCTCCTTCTCCCCCTCCTCCTACTACCGACGACCTCCACCACCTCTGCGCGGTGACCCAGAGATGGACCACTTGGAGCGATGGCGAGAGCTGCAGGCAGAGCGCGCAAGCGCAGCCTCGACTTGGCTAAGCAGGCCTGGAAGGAGCCTCCTGGCAAGCTGCACCGCACCGTCGTCGACCCCAGCATGCAGCGACTGGGGGCCATGCAGGGACGCACCACGTACGGCGACCCCGAATTACCTCGTCGTGAACGCCGAAGCCGACAGCCGGAGGAAGATCCAGAAAACTAGCTCCTACGACCAGGGGCATGTCATCGCCGCGCACGAGAATGCCATGCGCCTCGCCAGGGAGAACCCGCCCCCCCCATAGAGGTGGAGCACATCTACGCCGTCGTCAACACCGCCAACCCCAAGAAGGCCAATGGCATCGTCAACGTCGGCCCCTATCGACATACGGAGGCTCCCGAGCCAGGGCATCAAGCAGCTCGCCGACATCTACAAAGAGGTGGAGGGTCATGGCCCCAAAGCCAGCAGGGGGGAGTGCATCCTCGGCATGCTCCCCACCAGCCCGAAGGTGATGAGCCAGATCCGCTCCACAATCACAGACCGGTGATGAGCCAGATCCGCTCCACAATCACAGACCCGTGTCCCAACGAGCTCGGGACGCAGAGAAGTTCACGACTCGGTCAGCTTCGCGATCCTCTTTGAGGCGACCAACGCGGAGCATTTCCCGCCGATCGTGGTAGGCCTCGAGGTGCAGCTCTTCATCCCGCGAGGTACCTCCGCATGCGCGACTGGGCGAGCGACAGAATCGACCCCCAGATGCCCATCGCCGTGGGCAGCCGCCACGGAGGCAAGCTATCGAATGTTTCCGTTGACCCCATCTGGTTGCGAGCGCACAGCAACTACGCCTACGCGGACCTGCGGACCGTCGTCGGCGACACGGTGGCCAGGACTGTGGGCGAGCCCAAACAGGCCATCAGCGACATCATCGGCGTCGCCACCGTCCTATGCATTGGGATGACCGCCGCAGAGCCCAGGGCCCCCACGAAGACCACAATCGTGGCATCCAGCCCCTCCATCGCTTTCGCGTTTCTCGTGGGCCTCAAGGCCAAGGGCTGCCCCATCAACGTGGCGGGCTCCTCCGTCGATTTCGGGATCGACGCGGCAAGGGGAAGGCGCCGCGCCGCGGCCAAGGCACCATCACGGACGAAGAAGGCGAAGAGGCACACAGGCCGCGTCATCACCAAGATAAGGAGGCACGCGTCGCTCGCCAAGATCACGAAGGGCGTCTGGGCCACGGGGCCCAGACCGCAGAGCACCCACGGCCACCAGATCACCGGGCTCGCCATGTCCGCCATCGTGGACCAGAGGCGCCAAGTCTTTCAAGCCACCGCGGGCAAGGTACCTGGCAGGTGCCCCACAACTGGCTTCGTCGTGGTCATCGGCCAGAAGGGCCCAGCCATCGAGCTCAAGCGCCAGTCAATCACAGAGTGGCTCAACTTCTGGTTCCAGAACCCGCGCCACCACACGCGCGCCCACCAGGCCTGGAAGCTCATCCACAAGGAGACCATCAGCCCCGGGAACAGGAAGTGGCACAAGGTCGCAGGCCCCATCTCCGCAATCCAGGCCCTACTCCTGGACGTCGGCTGGAGCTGCCCGCCCCCGCGCGAGCGGTCGCGCGCGCCCCGCGGAGGCGAACCTGCAGACCAAGCGCGGCTTCTACCCCGCAAGGGCCAAGCCGACCAGGAGGCCAAGTGCTACGAGGTCGACCCGCCAGAGTTCGTTCGCGATTTCTGCCGGTCCATCGAGACGAGGTTATGGGAGGCCGCAGCCAAGCACCTGCATGGAGATGGGCGCCAGCGAGGTGGCCCCGGCGGGCATGTCATCAGCCGCCAGATGGAGAGGTTCACGAAGAAGGGCCAGTTCGACCAATGGGCCCTCGACCTCTGCGTCGTGACAGGGGCCCCGCGGCCGCGGACGCGCCCGGCCGAAGCGGGCCAACAAGCGCGGACGCGCTGCCCCCGTTGCGGAGAAGCGGGCGAGGCCCTCATGCGCAGAAGCTGGCTGTGCCCCTGCAACCGCGACCACGAGGATTACGCGAATTATGACGCCCTCCTGCCAGCCGCCCTCGCAGGAGCGGAAGCTTCGCTTGCGCGCGGGCTCCGCGGCCCGCCTGCACGCGCTGGCGCGCGCCCTGCCCTGTCTGATTTGGGGGCGCGGTTGGCGGACACTTGCCGCTGCGCGGCGCCCCAGCGAAGGCGCAAAGCAAGACCAGCGGCAGCGCAACGCGGAGGCGATGCGCACCCGCGGCAGCAGCAGGCTCGAGGTAATTCGGGTAGCCTCACACAGCAAGGACACCCCTGGCATTGCTACCAACCCGACCAGATACTTCCGCACGTCAGGAAATGCGCGAGCCGACGCGCGGGCCGGCGCGGCCGCCCAAAGAGCCCGGGAAGCCGCGCCCAACGGCGAGGCGCCCCCCCCATGGATTTGCACGACACCCAGCGCGCCCTCGCCCGCCGAAGGGCGCGACGGGAGTTCGCCGACACGCTCGCTGCCGACCCGCGGGCGGCAGAGAGGCCGTCGCAGGTTCGCGGCCGGCGCCTAACCAAGCTACAGCATGCCCTTCAGTCGAATGCACGCGCTTTCGAGCTCCGCGCGAGCGAGTACAGATGCTCGCGTTGCGTGCTCGGTTCCGACATGCGAGCGGCGCGACAAGCGCGCCGGCGCCTTGCAATCATAAGCCGCCCGAGCCCACTGCTAGCGAGCACATGAACCGCTGCTGGGCGCCGTCGTGATCGGCGGGCCCCCGCTGCACGAATCCCACATGCTTCATTTCCCGTATGCAGAAGTACTACTTGTACTTGGATCGCCTTTGCGGCAAGATGGCGACGGAGGACCCCCGCCACCTCGCCGCGCAGTGCTCATGCTTGACGCGCAAAGGCCACTGATCGTGGCCAAGTCACCTGCGCCCACGCGGGACGCGACGGCCTCACTGCATACGTGCGGGCGGCCACCCACGGCATGGGCGTGGACGATTGCAGCCGCCGCAGCGCCCGCTGCTGATGCAAGCGCTCCGCTACAAGCAGGTGCAGTTGTTTTGTTGACCGAACCCACACTCTGGTGCGCCTGGCTTCTCCAGCATCCTCTTCCTCATCCTCATCCTCCTCGTGTTCCTCGTCCTCCTCCTCCTCCTCCTCCTCCTCCTCTTCCTCCGTTCCTTCATTTTCATGATGAACAATTCCTCATGGTCGCGCCCTGAGGCCAGTCGGAAGGGCGCGCCAGGCGTTTCGCTTGAGATGTCCTTGCCACATGATCTTGAAGTTTGCAAAAGGGGCAACAGTTTCGCACATAGACTGTGAGTGGTTTTTAAAATGTGGTTATCGCCTTTGCGCCGCGCACATCCGTCTGCAACATTTGGCAGAGATTCACGAATTGATGGCGGGTAGTTTCCAAAATATGGTTTTCGCTTTAGTACCGCGCACACTCGTTTGAATAATTTGCAGGAGCTTCATGAATTGAGGGCGGTTCCTCTTCAAAATGAGGTTCTCGCTTTAGCACCGCGCACCTCCGTTTTTAACAATTGCAAGAGTTCCACGGAATCCCATGGTCAACGCACCTGACATGGTACGTTGGAACGGTTCAAGCTTGTCAGGGCGCTTATGTTTGATTCGCGGCGTTGAAGTGCCAGGAATTGCGTTTCGGCAAAACCCTAGATCGTCTAGACGTTACAGGCACATTGATTCCTGGCGTTCGGGCCCCGAGAAATGTATTTTGGCACGTTTTGTGATATTTAAACGGTTGTCTCCCAGTGGGGACCGTTCTACAGTGAAAAAGAATATTTGTAGGGGCCTCTGAAGCGGGAGCTTAGAGGGAGGGTTTAGTACAACATCGTTGGTGGGCCTTGGGTTCTACTACAGTGATCCTCCTCCTCCTCCTCCTCCTCCTCCTCTTCCTCCTCCTCCTCCTCCTCCTCCTCCTCCTCCTCCTCCTCCTCCCTCCTGCTCGGCGTCGTCTTCACACCGCCGCCGCTCGAGGTCCGCCCGGCGCCGCGCCGCCGCAGCAGCTGGCGGCCTCCTTCGAGCCGCCGCCCCGCCGCGAGCTGGTGGCCTCCTTCGAGCCGCCACCGCCGCCGCAGCCCGCCCCAGCCGTAGGCCCCGCCAGCGAGGAGGACACCCCTGGGGCCTTTTCTATAAACCCAGCACGCGCATACAATACTATTTTCTGAAGGTCGGTTCTTGGAAGTGAATCCATAGAAATATCCCAGCTACTTTCACCGGTGGATTATAAGGATGCTAACGCTCGACCTAAAATCTGGATTCTTTTCAAATTTCGAGCAGTCCCCAAACCGTGTGGTGGCAACACCGCGTGATGGCTCGGGATCCGGGGTCACCGCGCAGTTTTGGGACTCGGGCCGTTCTCCGAAGGCGTCTCAGGCGAGTTGGGGCCTCCATGAATCCTACAGCCGTGTGGTGGCGGGCCGCGCGGTGAGGTCGTTCGGAGATTCCGAGGTCACCACGCGGTCCGTCACCACACGGTCGTGGGGCCCCGAAACGCCGCCATTGTCGCAGCCGCCGCCGCCGCCGCCGACGACGACGACGCGCTGAAAGAATAGAGGCGGAGGTTTTAGCCGCTTTCGACATCGGGGTGCCTTCGCCGGGCCCCAGGATCCTTAGAGAATGATCCGAGCTCCGGGGACGCCGCCGCCGTCGCCGACCCAGACCTTCAGAGGCACAATCAAGCAAGTTGTACGCGTGCCCTGGCTCTTGCACAAAGGAGCTGCGAAGGACTGGGAAGCCTGGGCGGAGGAAGGCTGGACGGAGGGGGGGTCCCAAGGGGGGGTGGCCCAGGGGAGCTGGGGCTCAGGCTCAGGGGAGGGGCCGAGGGGGACGGACCACGACGAACCACGAACCACGACGAAAATAAGGATGTCCGCGGCCCATGGGGGCTGCCCTGGGAAGCCTGGACGGAGCAAGCCTCCGAAGGGCGGGTGGCCCAGGGGAGCTGGGGCTCAGGCTCAGGGGAGGGGCCGAGGGGGACGGACCACCACGAACCACGAACCACGACGAAAATAAGGATGTCCGAGCTCTAGAGCACAGCTGTGCAAGAGAATATCAATACCACTACCCGTCCTTCGTTTTCCTCGCTTTCGCCGTTTTGGGTGGCCTCCTTGGAGGCCCCCGTCGCCACAGTTGGCTTCGTCTTGAGTTTTTGGTCAGAACGCACCCGGGGAAACGTCCGGGGAGGGCCGGCATCGGGAAAGTATCGATTCTCTGATTTCTGTTCCTGCAGCTTCGACTCCAGGGGCCAGCCTCGGACCGGGTGGGAAGCCGGGCCCTGGAATCGAGAAGATCGAGTCGTCCAAGGTCAAAAGGGGGGCCAAGAATTAAGGCGGGCCTGTCCCCATACAGCAGGGGGATCTTGGGCGAAAAATTGAAAATGTTCCAAAAATACTCCCAAAATGCTCAGGCAAAAATTAGTCCCCAGACTATGTTTTGACTATTTTTGAATATCCCTCCTGTAGGGGGACAGGCCCGACCTAAGCCAAGAATGGGAAGAGCATGCAAAAACGCGGCATCCACGAGGCGCCGCTTGTGGGGAAGCCACCAGAGCACCTCTGAGCACTGGTGCTGGAGCCGGGCAGTGACTTGCCGACGGGCTCCCGACGGCGGCGTGTCGTCTATCTTTT